TACCCAGCAGCACGCCGGCTGCTCTACCCCAGAGTCCACAACAAAAGCCTGGTCTGCTGGGAGAGGGGGGGCGCAGCTAGTGCGCCCCCCCCCAGCAGACCAGGCTTTTGTTGTGGACCCTGGGGCAGAGCAGCTGGGGCGCTGCCGGTTGGCCTCTTAAAGGGGGGGGGTAGTCTTATACGGCGAGTATAGGCGAAAACCTATGGTTTAACTAGAAAATTAGGGGCTCGTCTTATACGCCCAGTCGCCTTATACGCCGGAAAATACGGTATATACAAATTGCTTTACTATGTTGTATAGTTAACTTTTGTTGTGGACCCTGGGGCAGAGCAGCTGGGGCGCTGCCGGTTGGCCTCTTAAAGGGGGGGGGTAGTCTTATACGGCGAGTATAGGCGAAAACCTATGGTTTAACTAGAAAATTAGGGGCTCGTCTTATACGCCCAGTCGCCTTATACGCCGGAAAATACGGTATATACAAATTGCTTTACTATGTTGTATAGTTAATGTTTGGTATTATTATTCATAAGAGAGGCTGATCTTGTAGCTAAATCTCAGGACCGAGTTTGCAAATAGAGATTTGGTTCCTAATTGCGACAGACCATGTTCATGTCTCAGTTTCCAATTCTGTAAAAATGGGGCTTATAATGGTCTATGTTAAAGAGGTGTTGGGAGGATTAATTTTTTAATGTCTGTGAAATATTTTGAGATCTAAAGGCACTGTAGAATCACAAAATACCAGTTATTGTTTCAAATGAACAGTTTCACCCCAAGCATTTTGTGGTGAATTTTTATAAATAAAAATGGAATACAGTGTTGTTGTAGCCATGTTTGTTCCAGGATATTAGAGAGACAAGATGAGTGAGGAAATATCTTTTATTGGACCAAATTCTGTTGGTGAGAGAGAGAGAGCTTATCCAGTAAAAGATACTAACTCACTGAGATGCTGACCTTGTCTCATAAATGTAAGTGTCTGCAAGCATAAGTAATACCCATTGTTTGGCAGTGAATGAATCAGGACTTAGGTTCCAAAGTTCAAATTGCATTTGCCCCATGAGCAAACCAGAAAACCTGTAGACAGAGGGAGAGTGTAGGAAGGAAGAGCTCTAGATCCATAATGGGAGTTAGTCCCAGATCCCTCTATTTAAGCTCCTAACTTCTATTGAAATCAACAAAAGTTGGGAACCTAAAAATCTTTGAGGATCTGGGCCTTAGGCTGTAATTAATAAATGTGGCTTTCAAAGGCTTGCATACTACTCCTTTAAAAAGAGAAGAGAGTGTAGAGTAATTAAGGAGTTGAGAATCAGAGTTTTGATGTGCAGTTCTTGACTGTCATTGAATCTGAACAAGATGCAGTAGTTTCCCTAACTATACAATGGGCATAATAGTTACTTCCTCATGTAAGTGTTACATGACTTAATGGCCATTTCTAAATTACTTTTAGTTCCTTGGGTATTGTTATTAACGGTTCTAACTTTGCTCTTTCATGTTAATCTGTCTCTGTAATTTTTAGATTTTTTTAAAAGTACAAAATGTACTTTCTGTATTATTATTTATAATTTTCTGTACACAGCAAACTGTTATCACGAATTTGAACAACACAGATTTTCATGGCAGTGGTTATACCAGGTAATTTACCATAATATTTTTGTTCTTTTCTTACTTTAAAAGGCATAGCTAGACTTGATGAAATATTATGAAGATGTGCTTGTTCTGCTGAATTAACACTTTTAAAAATTACATTTTTATCATACTAAAAGAAAGCTTAATTTTACATAATTTTTCCTATTTAAATGAACCACATTCCTGTTTTTTACTTTTTCCATGTAGGGAGAAACAGTGCCATGTTTTTGCTTTTTATCTTGGGTCATGCAGTCTGTGAAATTCTTGAAAAGTAAAACAGATAACTGAGGCGCAGATCCTACAAACTTCCATATGTGTGGACCTTTGTACCCACATAGATCACAGGGTCTGCTTGTGCAGATCAGCTTACAGGAGAGATTTCAACAGTCACATGGAAGGGAACAATCAGAAAGATGGGAGGAAAATCAGGGTATCAGAGCTGTGGAAACTGGTTCTTTTTAATGTTTATTGTATTAGCAAAGCAACCAAAGTCCCCAGTCATGATCAAGGCCCTACTGTGCCAAGGACTGTGCAGTCATTTAGGAAGGCTTGGGCTTGGCCTTGGCCTTAAAAGGTGTACAGTCTAATTTAAGATAAGGTGCAGCAAAGTTAAATAACAATAGAAGGGAAAAAAGAAGTAGATTAATAAGATCATGCAGTTACATGATGTTTGATGTAATAGTTTTGAATCATTTGAAAACTTTTCTAAATAAATAAAATTAGCTACAGTAACCAGCACTCTTGAATTTCCTTTGAAATATTTATTCATCTTTATTATTTATTTGTGTAGCATGGCCATTATTTATGGAGTGTTCTCTGCATCAAATCTTATTTCACCTTCAGTTGTTGCTGTAGTAGGACCTCAATTATCCATGTTTATTAGCGGTGTATTTTATAGGTAAGTAATTGATTGAAATCTAGAATTTCTGCTTCTGTGTATCCTTGCCCCTTTACTTCACTTACCATGTCATGCATGAAATTGTACTGACCAAGGAGGGCAGAGTTTGGCTTCTTGCAATGATATCAGTGTTGCTCCTGAGTCCCTTAGAATGTTACTTCAGAGACATTCACCCTCCCCCAGAGCTGTGATCTTGTTATTTTCACATTGATTGGTCTGCCTGACTTTGGAGTAAAGAACCAAGATCAAGCCTCAGTCTAATTACTGTACTAGAAAAAATAGCAGTATATGCTTAGGGTAATAAGAAATTGTTTTTAATTATATTGACTTGGATTCTTTTAAAAACTATCTTAAGAATAAGTACTTGATTTAGAGGAAGCAAATCTAATGGGTAAAAAGCATAATCAGCATGACAATGTTCACATTCAATTTGAATATAATACATTGTTATATTTTAGCATATACATTGCAGTTTTTATCCAGCCATTCACGTGGTCCTTCTACACTGCTTCTGTTTTCATTGGGATAGCAGCTGCTGGTAAGTATTTCACATAACGTGTATCTGCTTCTTCACTGTATTTTGTCTCTCTGAACTATTTTTCCTCCTTTCTCTGCAACTTTTTTATTTGAATTTCAGTACTTTGGACTGCACAGGGAAATTGTCTGACAATAAATTCAGATGAAAATACCATTGGGAGAAACAGTGGAATCTTCTGGGCACTTTTACAGTCCAGGTAACTTTCCTTTATTAAAAAGTCTCAAAAGGGTAGCTGTGTTGTTTTGTAACTTTAAAAACAATGAGTAGTCCTGTGGCACCTTAGAGACTAACAAAAATATATATAGTATCATGAGCTTTCTGAAGAAGTGGGTTTTGCCCACTTTCATGAACTTTCATGGGCAAAACCCACTTCTTCAGAAAGAACACTCTTCCTTCAATGAGGGTTACTATGAGTTGGAGTAAGAAGTCTTCCACCTCGATATTATTTCAAAATAAAGACTTGTAGTGTAGATGCGCTTTTTGTTGTTATGAATAATGTCAGTTATTCTGAAATAATGCTGCTATGTAGATGTACCCTAAGGCTGTGTCTACACTGGACCCCTCTTCCGGAAAAGGGATGGAGATGAGACAAGTCAGAATTGCAAATGAAGCGGGGGATTTAAATATCCCCCGCTTCATTTGTATAAACATGGCTGCCGCTTTTTTCCGGCTCGGGGCTTTGCCGGAGAAAAGCGCCAGTCTAAACGGGATCTTTCGGAAAATAAAGCCTTTTCCGAAAGGCCCCTTATTCCTCTTAAAATCAGGAATAAGGGACCTTTTGGAAAAGGCTTTATTTTCCAAAAGATCCCGTCTAGACTGGCGCTTTTCTCCGGCAAAGCCCCGAGCTGGAAAAAAGCAGCAGCCATGTTTATAGAAATGAAGCGGGGGATATTTAAATCCCCTGCTTCATTTGCAATTCCGACTTGTCTCATCTCCATCCCTTTTCTGGAAAAGGGGTCCAGTGTAGAGACAGCCTAAGAGTGCAAGGGAGACTTTTCATCTCAGACAGTAATTCAGTTGTACTCCAGTAACTATGAAATGAAAGGAAAAGCTGGAGGTTGCATTGCTGCTGGTATTGAACAATACTTAATGATAAGTAGGGATTATATACAACCAATCTTTCCTCCTGATGTACAGTGCAAAAGTTAATGTCATTTCTGGTATCTTAGATCTCTTTGAAATGTAGAGCTGGCCTTGTGAAAGTGAATCTTCAATTTTGTTTCATATTTCTGTGGGACTAGCAGTTTGACAGTGGGAGGACAAACACTCTCTCTCTCTCTCTCTCTCACATTTTCACCATATTATTCTTTCATATATAATTTGTTACCATAATAAATATTATATTCCTGTGTCATCCCTTTTTTGTTTTCAGCTTGTTTTTTGGAAATCTTTATATATACTTTGCTTGGCGTGGGAAAACACACATATCAGGTTGGTATTACTTATTTTGTGTGTAGAATGCTTTGTATCATAATGTATGAAAAACGGACAAAATAATGATGTAGGAATCAGTCTTAGGCTATGTTTACATTACAGAACTCACAGCAGTACAGCTGTACCTCTACACTGTGCTATTGTAAGGTCTCCTGTGTAATCCCCCTGTGCCGCTAGCATTTTAAACCACCCCAACCTGACTGGCAGAAGCTATGTTGGTGGTGGGATATATTCTCCTGCCAATATAGTACTGTCCACACTAATGCTTTTTTGTCTATGAAACTGTCGGTTATTGGGTGTTTTTTTCACAACCCCGGCCAAGCAAAATGCTAATGTAGACCTAGCTATAGTTGTAACAGCTAGAAAATAGGGAACATCAGATAAAGTTTGTATTTGTTTTCTAGGCCATATTTCAGTTTTACTATGTAAAGCTGTATGATAAAAGAGCTATGAATATCTCCAGTGTTCACAACTGCTGTTCCCTTCGCTTGCTTTCATAACTTGATGGAGAGGGAAATTGACCAGAATAGCGTATTGCAGAGTTCTGTAATTGTTCCCCATGGGAAGACTGTTATTCTGGAATAAGAATGTCCACATTGGAAGCTGTTCTTGAATAGCTATTACACTGTAAATTCGCACCCTACCTGCTCCATTATAGTATCTTGGTGCAGACAAACAGTCGGACTCCCTGTCTTGATACAGATCATCATGGTTAATTTCCTGTTTGAATTATTTTATTTTTCCTGTTACATTCCTTATACCTACTGCCTCTTCTTGTCTTCTCCCCCCGCCCTCTGCTATTTATTTTAGTTCTGGACAACCAACACTCTGGTCATCTGAAGAAGGGGGCTGTGCCCATGAAAACTCATGATACCATCTGCATGTTTTGCTGGTCTTTAAAGTGCTACCAGACTATTTGTTGTTTTTGAAGTCTATCCTGTTCAAATTAACTTGGGTACTCCCTGAAGCTTTTTAACATTGTCATCTTAAGCCTTCCAAATCTAATCAGTGTAGAGCTTGGAGCAAAGTGCATTCATATTCAATGGAATAAAAGACAGGTTGTTAAAGCTGTTGAGTTGCACATAGGTCATTTGGGACCTGAGTTACTGTAAAGAGATGGAGGCAGGGTCTGCTGTGTGAGCAGTGGTTGTCTACTGAGAAGCCAACTAATTTACATGGAAACTGTGACACAGCCTGTGTTTTAGTATAATAGTCAGGAAACCCAGAAAAAAACCCACAACTATAATAATAAATTGAGCTGATTAAAGAGGAGAGTTTCCGGTATTATGTACTAAAAATGCCCTCAAATATCTGATAGACCATATTATTTACATCTTTAAAACATGAAGGGTGCGTCTAGACTGGCCACCTGTCTACACTGGCCGTGAGTATTTAGACAAAAACACTGACTTTGTACTGTACAAAATCAGTGGTTCTTGTGCAGATATTCCGACGCTCCCGCTCAGGGATAAGCACTCTTGCGCAAGTAACATTGCGCAAGAGGGCCAGTGTAGACAGCCAAGTTAATTTCTTGCACAAGAAAGCCCGATGGGTAAAATTCGTCTACACTCTCTTGCGCAAATACTTTTAACGGGAAAAACTTTTCCGTTAAAAGTATTTGTGTAAAATCATGCCAGTCTAGACGCAGCCGAAGATTTATTCATTTAGAACATGCGTTCCCAAACTGGGGGAGCCTCAAGAAATTCCGGTGTGTGTGCGTGCGCGCGCACGCACGCAAGGCAACCCAACCCCCCTTCCTCCCCGGCACTCCTCCCTGCCCATCCCCCAGGAAGAGCCAGGTCCATCCGGTATCTTCTGTTTTTCGGCCCCGGTCAGTTCCCTTTTTTGCTCAACAAGTTTTGCTGCTTTTTTTGGGGGTGCTGCCCCTCCAAGTGCCACGCGCCCAGGGCCAGTGCCCCCCCTCCAAGTGCCGCGCGCCCGGGGCTGGTGCCCCCTCCAAGCGCCGTGCGCCTGGGACTGGCGCTCCCCCC